CTCAGTCACCACCCTTGCAACACCACACACACCTGCCACAGCGGTCACACACGCCCAGTCCTGTCAGTATACACACACTGTGCTTTGGTGATGTATTTAAGTGTGAAACGTCATCTTTCAGTTTTCTTTTGATGTTTTTCTTTGTTCTTCAGACCAAGGAAAGCAACGAGTCTCAAAAATCAACTCCCTCTGCAGTTAAGCAACAAATGAGTAGGTTCATTCGGCGTACTGTGATATAATGAAATGATATAAGTGACCACTTACCAGTCTTTGTAACTTATGACTGTTGCTATAAAGTTCATAGAAATGTAGGTAAGATGATATATAAAACAATTAGAACAGAAAAGGCTATGCAATGTCTCAAAAATGAGTTAATAAAACAAGATTGGACTATTGTATATAAATATAAGGATGTCAATAAAGCCTATGAGGCATTCTTAAGTATATTCATGGCCTTATTAGAGAAAAATAGCCTACTTATTGAAGTCAACAGGAAAGACAAATATACAGGAAGACCATGGATGACGAAGGGACTGCAAAATGCCTGTAAAAAAAAGAACAGCTTATATAGAGAATTCATTAAAAAGAGAACTACAGAATCTGAAAAGAAATATAAAAAGTATAAAAATAAATTAACTAACATAATGAGAACTTGTAAAAAAGAATACTTCATCAAAAAGTTAGAAGATAATAAAGATAGCATGAAAGGGATATGGAATGTATTGAATAGTATAATAAAAAATGCACCAAGGACTAATGACTACCCTGGGTATTTTATGGAAGGGACAAATACTATTAGTAAAATGAACGAAGTAGTAGATGGATTTAATGATTTTTTTGTACATATAGGGCCAAAACTAGCCGCAGAAATAAAGGTTGATATGATAGAAAAGGAGACTGGAGGAAACATTGAAAGGAATGCAAGTTCAATGTTTTTAAGAGCAGTGGAAGAGAAGGAGATATATGATATTGTCAGTGGACTTAAGAACAAAACAAGTACTGACTTCCATGATATTGACATGTTAACAGTAAAGAGAGTAATTGATGGTATTGTAAAACCGCTACAATATATTTTTAATTTGTCTTTCCAGGAAGGGGTTTTTCCACAAAAAATGAAAGTAGCAAAAATTATTCCCATTTATAAATCAGGTGAAAAGCATTGTTTTACAAATTATAGACCAGTGTCGGTACTCTGCCAGTTTTCTAAAATACTGGAAAAACTATTTCTAAAAAGACTTGATAACTTTGTGGAAAAGCATGATCTGTTGGCAAATTGCCAGTATGGGTTTAGAAATAACAGATCAACAGTTTTGGCATTGATGGATTTAATGGAAGAAATAACTGAATGTATGGATAACAAGAAGTATGCACTTGGAGTTTTTCTAGATCTAAAAAAAGCATTTGATACTGTTGACCACAAAATTTTAATAATCAAACTGGAGAAATATGGGTTTAGGGGTGTGGTATTGGATTGGATAAAAAGCTATGTGATGAATCGACAGCAATATGTACAAATAAATGAGTTTAAATCTAAATTGATGGATATTGAATGTGGAGTACCTCAAGGATCAGTATTGGGACCAAAATTGTTTATAATGTATATAAATGATATTTGTAAAGTATCGAAGATCCTAAAGTTTGTAATTTTTGCAGATGATACCAATATACTTTGTTCAAGTGGGGAATTTCAACAGGTTGTGGAGGTGATCACACAGGAGTTAAAGATATTAAAGACGTGGTTTGATAGAAACAAATTGTCCTTAAATTTAAATAAAACTAAATTTATGTTATTCGGAAACCATAAGAAAGATATTAACATTGAAATTTGTGTTGATAATGTATATCTAGAAAGGGTTAATACCATAAAATTTCTTGGTGTGATCATTGATCATAAGGCCTGTTGGAAATCACACATCACTTATGTGAGGGGAAAGTTAGCACGGGGCATTGCTGTCTTGGGGAAAGTGAAACATTTTCTGGATAGGAAAACATTATATATGTTATATTGTGCTTTCATATTACCATACATGAGTTATTGTGTAGAAGTTTGGGGAAACACATATAAAAGTAATATTCAGACTATAATCATAATGCAGAAAAGGGCTATTAGACTAATAAATCAGGAGGGGTATAGGGCTCACACAAACGCACTCTTTATTAAGACGCAAGCTTTAAAATTCCAGGACCTGGTCAAGTTTAAAACTGTGCAAATAATATATAAGGTAAGGAAAGGGATGCTCCCAATTCAAATAAGTAAATGGTTCTTAGAAAGAGAAGGGAGGTATAATTTTAGAGGGAAGTGGAATTTAAAAGTACAAAGAGTAAGAACAACATTGAAAAGGATGTCTATTTCAATAGCGGGCGTTAAATTCTGGAATGAGTTAACAGAAGAAATAAAGGATAGTAGTAATGTAAACCAGTTTAAAATAAAACTCAAAAAAGCAATGTTAAATAAGTATAAGACTGAAGAAAATGCAATTAACCCAGGACGGCATGCAAACTGATGTTTAATCTCTTCTACAAATTAGAAAATCTAAATATAGTTCTAGTTGAACATGAGAATTTAATTTATTTATTATTATTGCTTTTTGGGGGGGGGGGGGGGGTTTGAAGGCATTGTAACTGTTTTGTTGTTTACATTTTGATGATGAGGATGTAAACCTGAGGGGGTAGGGCTAAATAAGTATACACTTCTCCCTACTCCTTTTCAAACAATTGCGTGGAATGATTTTTATGAAATTTTGGTGAATGTATATGTTTGAAATAAAGTGAACTGAACTGAACTGAACTGTTCTGAGAACACTGTACCCTTTAGGGTAAAAATGTCTTCTGCTGTGCAGGATCGGGATTAGAGTCGTAAAAGCCTGCTGCATAAGTAGAGTGGTTAACACTTTAAATTAGCTAGCCCTTTGTTCACGTTTTCTTATTCCAGGTACGACACGCGGACTTCCTCCTGAGGACGTGGTCCAATCCAGTGTCAGTAACACAGAGCGAAATGATCCGAGCCATGATATTAAAGACATCGTCAAACAGCACCAGCCTGCAGGAACGACCTCTTCTAGTGCGTCTCCCACACAAAGGTAGCACATGGTTCCTTCTTCTGATAGACTTGAATGGAACATACAGAGGTGTGAAAAACCATTTGCCCCCTTCCTGATTTCTTATTCTTTTGCTTGTTTGTCACACAAAATGTTTCTGATCAAACACATTTAACCATTAGTCAAAGCCAACAGAAGTAAACACAAAATGCAGTTTTGAAATGATGGTTTTTATTATTTAGGGAGAGAACAAAATCCAAACCTACATTGCCCTGTGTGAAAAAGTAATTGCCCCCTGAACCTAATAACTGGTTGGGCCTCCCTTAGCAGCAATAACTGCAATCAAGCGTTTGCGATAACTTGCTACGAGTCTTTTACAGCGCTCTGGAGGAATTTTGGCCCACTCATCTTTGCAGAATTGTTGTAATTCAGCTTTATTTGAGGGTTTTCCAGCATGAACCGCCTTTTTAAGGTCATGCCATAGCATCTTAATAGGATTCAGGACTTTGACTAGGCCACTCCATAGTCTTCATTTTGTTGTTCTTCAGCCATTCAGAGGTGGATTTGCTGGTGTGTTTTGGGTCATTGTCCTGCTGCAGCACCCAAGATGGCTTCAGCTTTAGTTGACGAACAGATGGCCGAACGTTCTCCTTCAGGATGTTTTGGTAGACAGTAGAATTCATGGTTCCATTTATCACAGCAAGCCTTCCAGTTCCTGAAGAAGCAAAACAACCCCAGACCATCAATCTACCACCACCATATTTTACTGTTGGGATGATGTTCTTTGTCTGAAATGCTGTGTTACTTCTACGCTAGATGTAACGGGACACTTGCCTTCCAAAAAGTTCCACTTTTGTCTCATCAGTCCACAAGGTATTTTCCCAAACGTCTTGGCAATCATTGAGATGTTTCTTAGCAAAATTGAGACGAGCCCTAATGTTCTTTTTGCTTAACAGTGGTTTGCGTCTTGGAAATCTGCCATGCAGGCCATTTTTGCCCAGTCTCTTTCTCATGGTGGAGTCATGAACACTGACCTTAATTGAGGCAAGTGAGGCCTGCAGTTCTTTAGAAGTTGTCCTGGGGTCTTTTGTGACCTCTCGGATGAGTTGTCTCTGGGCTCTTGGGGTAATTTTGGTCGGCCGCCCACTCCTGGGAAGGTTCACCACTGTTCCGTGTTGTTGCCATTTGTGGATAATGGCTCTCACTGTGGTTCGCTGGAGTCCCAAAGCTTTAGAAATGGCTTTATAACCTTTACCAGACTGATAGATCTCAGTTACTTTTGTTCTCATTTGTTTTTGAATTTCTTTGGCTCTTGACATGATGTCTAGCTTTTGATGTGCTTTTGGTCTACTTCTCTGTGTCAGACAGCTCATATTTAAGTGATTTCTTGATTGAAACAGGGTGGCTACAGAAATTGAACTCAGGTGTGAAACACCACATTTGGCCTTTTTTTTAACAAGGGGGCAATTACTTTTTCACACGGGGCAATGTAGGTCTGGATTTTGTTCTCTCCCTAAATAAAAACCATCATTTCTAAACTGCATTTTGTGTTTACTTGTGTTATCTTTGACTAATGGTTAAATGTGTTTGATGATCAGAAACATTTCGTGTGACAAACATGCAAAAGAATAAGAAATCAGGAAGGGGGCAAATAGTTTATCACACCACTGTACTGTATGAATCGCAGGAGTAGAAGCCAGGAGTTTCTCCAACGTTTGGTGCACAATACGAGGATGCTCCTTTGGTATGGTCTGATTTGGGAGACCAGTGTCTTCCCGCTTTGTGTGTGCGTGCTGATTGGTTCCAAAACTGGGACACCTGTACTCCTCTTATAACAGTGGTTCCTAACCCTTTTGTTTACGAGGAACCCCTTACCTGTGTCCAAGACAAGCCAGGACCTCCAACCCCATCTCCTGTCCGCACGCACACATTAAAAGTGATTAATTACAGACTTTACACAGACATACAGAGTGTTATTAGCTATGTTGTTAGGAATTTATAAATGTCATTTTGGTAACCTCACATCCTCAGCCCAGACAAAATTATGGGGACCCCCTTGGGGGATATTGGACCCCAGGTGGCAGCTCTTTACAAAATTGACCTAAATCATACCTAAATCAGATCGTCCCTTCTTGCTGGTAGTTAAAGATCTATCCAACCATCATCTGTGACTGCTGACCACTGCGCCACTGTGCAGCCCATGGTCAAAGACGTCATTTATAAAAGTTTACTAAGAAACATTCAAAATGGCCCAAAAACTCCTTTGAAGGCGTGAATGTGACTTGTGTGTAGGAAAAGGGATGGAAAGAAGTTTGCAAAGAAACCTGACCCTCATGATGAAGCTATGGAGATCCTTAAAGACCAGATGGCAAACCCGCCACAACCGGTAAAACACACACACACACACACATGCACGCACACACACACACGGAAGCTGCATCGAACTTTTCTACAACCTCAGTCTCTGAAAAAGCCTCAGCCCCCTCAGCCCAAAGCAGATGGAGTTAAAGTCGCCAGGACAACCAAACCTCGACCTGCGGGTCCAAGCAGTGCCGACTTACCTCCAACGCCTCCACCTGGTGAGCTTTTGAAAATGAAATACTCTGAAAAACTGCATTTTCACCACTATTTCACATCTATAGTTAGACTTAATCAGAGTGTGTCTCTAGTTTCTAGAGATCTACCAGTAGAGGAGGAGGTGATACAGACTCAGCTCCACAGCAGGACCAGCGATGAATATTACACCTACTCCAGCGTCCCCTGGAAACTCTACATGAGGAAGGAGGTGGTTTGAAACTCAGCAGCACAACAAGAGACCCTGAGTTTCACATTGAGGTTACTGAGATAAAAACTTGAACAGAAATTTTTATTTCACCCTTTTGCAGGTTTTCTACCCAAAGGAGACCCTGAACAATCCACTGATCCTGGACCTGATATTCAGACAGGTGTGGTAGAGATGAGAATAACCTCAAATTTCTTTTGAGCTAATGTAATTTTTCTTCTTTGTTTTCTAATTAAATCAGATTCAGAATTTTCAACAAAAAAAAAAGATTTTTTTTTTCACAAAAATGGTCAAAATAAATGTAAGGAAATTGGAATCTTGTTTAAAAACTGAATTTTCAATAAGACAATAAAAACTTAAACTATAATTCAAATAATATGGTCCAATATAAATTTTGGAACATTTACATTATATATATATATATATATATATATATATATATATATATATAATATGTGTGTGTGTGTGTGTGTGTGCACACAAGGGCGTCAGTTTGTTGTCAGAATTGCTGGGGACACTAACCATACACTTGAGTGGGGTTTAAAAATTGCTGGGGACAATATAGGCTAGCACAGGGGTCGGCGGCTCTGGAGCCGCATGCGGCTCTTCCATCCATCTGATGCGGCTCTCTGTGCTTGTGAAATAATGAATGGATATTTAAATAAAAAGCTTTATATTTTACTGCATTAATTTTACATCTGTAAGCTAATTCTAAATGTAAAGATTGTCTGCGTAAACCTGAACAGGTCCAACCCGGTCTTACTGTGAGACCGGGTTGACGCGTCACGCTTGTGCGTAATCATTTCGGCGCTTCTGAGCTGCTTTCTGACCTTCCCCACCTACAAAGTTTAATTACAACAATCAAACGTGACAGAGCCTGGATTTGTATTCTGAACAGTCTAAACATGTTTTAAAAAGAAACGTAGGACAAAAGTGGCACCTGCTCAGTAAAACCATCAACAGGGTGAAAAATACCAAAAATTGAAGGCCGAGACGGGCTACAACTTCTGGATCCATTTTATGTAAATCGTTTTATTGATTATCGTCTAATGAAAGATAATTAAGACGTACATGAGCGATCAGGCGCGTTGCAAGATTTTCAAAAGTGTGGGGGATGTTGTCTGTGCCTAAAATAATTTCATGTTATTCATCTTGTTAGTTTAATTTCCATAATAGCGGAGCAGGTGTGAATTTTAGACGCGTCACGCACGTCTCCGTTTTAAACATGTTTAAACTGTTCAGAATACAAATCCAGGCTCTGTCTCGTTAGATTGGTGTAACTAAAGTTTGTACTGAATGAAACTTTACATTAAACCATGTTGAAAAGTAAAGGATCCGATTAAATAGTTTCCCCCTCATTTACAGTCAGTACAGTGCAGTGCGCGTGGCTCTGGGGTTAATCAAGTTTAATTGTAACATTAATGTGTTACTGGACACGCTGGTCTGGTTGGTTAGACCAGTGTTTGAAGTGGAAAACACACACACACACACACACACACACACACACACACACACACACACACACACACACCAATTAAAATAATGCTGATAGCGTGGACTAGAAGACAGGTGATGATTTACGTATTTAAATGATGATCAGGCTGCTGTAAAATGTAATCTCCATCCACATCCAGACACAATTATCTATTCTTTCTCTATTTGCTCTGCTCTTGTCTGGGC